TGATGAAGACAAGCCATCAGAGCCTGCCTCAGGTGCTGACAGCGCTTCTTTAACACATCCACTTCTCTAACACAAGCCTTATTCTCAACAACAGCTGCTACTGATCGAGCTGTTACTGATTGGGCATCTTCTCCTTGTCGGCTAAAAGGCAAAAGCAAATCTGTCGGAAACAACGTGGCCTAGCATCTTGTGGGCAGAGGGCTGGATCACCTTCTAGTCCGCTGACTGCACGCTCACATCCAGCACAGTGAGCCAAAGGTGCTTTTGTGTAGGCCTGAGGAAGACCAGTTGATCTTTTGGAGGCAGGAGAGAAGGCTGTGTGATGAATGGGCAAGGCTCGCTTCCAGCCACCTGACCCGCCTGCCATCTAGTGTATGTTCAGGACATATTTCCAGCTCAGCACAGCGATAGCTGGAGAACAAAGAAGAGAATTAGTCTGGACTAACGTGGCACGTTACCAATAGAGTATGCTGAAATAGCTTAGCCTTTTCATCCCAGGACTCTGCATTATGTAAATAGGGCACACCCCCCAAACACAGCTCGCCAGCAGCGACTCAGCTACAACGATCACGTTTGTTCTCAAAAACACAGCAGACAAAACCCAGCGCTTACTTAGCTGTAAAAGAAGCAGCAGATTACACTTTCAACATCCAAATGTACCACATTTACACATGATGAACTAGGTGTAGTGGTCTAGGTATATACTTTTAAAATCAGTTATCTGCTTCGTCTATTTAGCTGTCCCTCAGGAACAGAACTGCTTGTGCTAGATATGCACAACCGCTGACAAACCAGTGGTCCTCTGCCACACCGAACCCTAGCGTTCAGATCAGTGTATCAGGCATCAGTTTGTTCCCTTCTGTGCCAAACAATCAGCTGTTTTCCATAATTCTTCATTTCCGTACATCCATCAATTTCTGTTGTTTTTCTTTAATGCATCTTCTAATTTGGAAGGCGACTGAGTAATAAAGGATAGTAAATTTGACTTGAGAAACAAGGATGGAACTGAGAGCAGAATATGCCTCTACAGATATCTCAGTAAATTTTCCATGCAGGTCCATATTTTCTTGTGTCAGGGAAATCAAATTTGTGACAATCAGTGCCTAAGAGTTGCCTCTTTCCTTATTAAACAATAAAGTTACCTGGGCTTCCTGACAAAAAACACTTCAAAGGAACATCAATGAGACTTTTTTTATAGATTCATATATATATGAATACATACAGGCTCTTTGCTGATTGGTCTCCAAATCCGTGGAAAATAGTCAAAATTATTTTGGAACTATCAAACCCAAACTCACACCCATGTTCAACAGTTGTTTAATCTCAAAACCGAGTCACAATGCTTTTGAGATCCAAACACAGACACGTCTACAACAGTCAAAGTTCAGGGAACTCTGAGCTATGAACAACCGAGTCAGCTCTGGGGACACGTTAAAAACGGGCACAGCACTGGGGAGCTAATTGCCTCCTACCTGGGCTAATTAGCTTTGATGCAGCAGTGCAGTAATGCAGCTATCCTGCCTGTGGATCTGGCACTGCCTTGCAACTAAGACGATGACCTTAAATCACTGTAATGCCTGGGCAGCGCTGTGACTCGCAGTCATCTTCCATGGAACAGAAGACAAAAAGAATTAAGTCAATTTTGTAACGGTCAGCGATGGATGCTGTTGTCGCTCCGACTTCAATGAATATAAATATATGCATATTTTGCTAAATTCAGCCATACGTGTGCGTGAGATCAGTCTTCTCAGGAGTATGACAAGTCTCCCCTGCCCTACTTTTGGTGTTGCACTATCACAGCGGTAATATCACGGCAACTTTCCCTTCCCTGCTTCCTTCGATATGCACTTAGGCTAAAACGAGCTGCTGGCGGCTGGGACAGGAACATCTCTGAGTCATTGCCTGCAGAAAGGTTTCTAACTAGATGCCCTTTTGTCAGTGTAACCTAGTGGAAATGAGACAAAAAGATAAAATTATCCTGCCTCTTAGGTTTAAAATATTGCTTTTGAGTTAAGTTGTTTTCTGCCTGACACATACAAGAATGGCTAAATTTTAACACGGACCTGGGGCTCGTGTTTCTGTTGTACAGCATGGGGTTGAGCAGAAGAAAAGGGAAGCTGAAGCAGAGGACAGATGGCTGTTACAAGAATCATTCTTTTTGTGTGTTCGATTTTCCAAGAGAACTTGGGGAAAAAAAAAAAAGCCAATTTCATCTTCGCTTCATTCAGCCACCGCAGGGACCAGGAACAAGTCTGGATCTTTTAGTTTGACTGCACACGTTTCCCTCATTTCAACGAGCGGAGTAACAGCAGCAAGGTCTCAGCCCCTTTTTTTTTTTTGCCCTCCCGCTAAAGGAATAGCTCCGCTCACACAGGCTGTAGATCAGACAGCATAAAGGGTATGAGTCACAAACATTTAGCCAGTTTGTTACATGCATTTAAAAATTAAATGTGAAACTACAGCAATGAAACCTAGCTGCAGCACTCTGCTATTAAATCTTTGCTTGGGGAATTTTTATGAGGTTTGGATTAGGAAGGTCCTGCTGGTCCTATTAGTGGGAAATAATGTGGTTTATTGATATTTTTATTTCAACAACTGTGTAAAAGTGTCCATTGGGCAAACCCGCCTTCTCCACTTCCCCAGGAGTACCTGTGAATAAATAAGCGTAAAGGCTAGTGTAGTTCATTGTGCAACGCAGGGACACCAAATGCAAGAAGTGAAGAAAGCCCTCCTTGCTTCTGGTTTGGGGCAAGGGGAGGGGGGCGTGCAAGAGGGGGTCTCCATGCGTAGGGGCAGCGGGCTGAGGAAAGAGCGCTACGTGCAGCTATGACCTGGACCTCGCTGTGGAAGGGTACTGTAGGACGACAGCCGCTGCTGCTGAATTTAAGAAGGTGGAAGGAAAACTGGATTCCAATTGTAACTGCAGTGTGTCCAAGGCACAGGGCAGAAAACATTCTCCATTTGTATAAAATACAGATTTGTATGTAAATATTCAACAATAACTTCTCTAGTAATGAATAAGAAATAAATTGCTTATTTGATGTATGATAAAACCATTATTTTGCACAGATGAGGCAGATGACACTTGATTTATATTGTCTTGCAAAAGCTTCAGACAATTAAGGGGAAAACTGTTCTGAGACTTATTACATTGACAAAATTCTGGTACAGCTAACAGCAATATGATTCACACAAGGATCGTCTGGCATGTAAAGCTCGTTTTAACAGATACCAATGTGACATACATAAAGCTGTCAGGCTTTCTCTAAAGGACAGTCATCCACTTCATGTTTCAAGTGCCAAATTAATTATATTTGACATTTAATTTATAACCTAAGGTATTTTAGGTTTGGAACTTGACTATGATAACAGCAGATTAGAGCAGCGCTCCGTTTGACAGAATCAATTTTTCAAGTTATTTTCCTTGTGCGTGGGTCTTGATTCAGATTTTTGTGTATCGAGCTTGCGTACAGGACACTGATACCTCTAAGCAAAGTAGGCTTCGTTCGCCTCCTCCCCCAGCCATTCCATGGTGAATTATTTTGCACTTTGAAGCAAGTTTCTTCTGCAGTCTTAATCACAAAGCTCCACCTAATGGAACGAGGGGAGAACTGTGCACAGAAAAAGAAAGGGAGAGAGACACTGCTAAGCACTGTTATCAAGGGAAAACTGCTACACAACCGTAAGCAGTTATTCTCCTCCGCCTAATGTATAAAGTCACCCCTTCCAAGGGCTTTAAAACTTTGAGGTGGGAGGAAAGCCAAAAAAAAAAAAGCTTTATCTTTTCATCTGAAATCGTAACCTTCTTTTTATTGTTACTGATAGATATTGCAATCCATCGGCGCTAATATTTCACACTGATATGTCCCACCTTCTAGGTTCCAAAGCATTTAAAAATAATAAAGATATAAAATAACCTGTAAATGTAGGTGTATATTTACTGATAGACAGTTCATTATTGAAAGTGAAACCTTTCAACAATGAATCAACTAGCCCTTAAAAACTTTTCTATCAATTTCCCCACTGAAAACGAAGGCTCTCTGTACAATTTTACGTCATTCATTGATATCACACCGGAACACAGCTGGAACACTCGCATTTCAAAATACTGCTGCAGCAAAGGAGCTGAAGAATTAAAAAAACTTTGCAAAGAGCAATGCCAGTTTCAAGGCAGAGCAATTATTTTTTTTTAAATGAAGTGCTTTGCAGATGTTAATATAAAAGATTGGACAAATTCCTGCGAAAGCTTAAAAATCCACTCACACTTTCAGAATTGCTCCCCACTCAGAGGAAGGCTCCGCGGCCACTTTCAGACTTTTTCTGCAACAGAAGGTACAAATCTAAATGTCACCTCGTATCAAGACAAACCATTTCACTAAAGAACCAGGACACTTGTCAGGATCATCTTATTTAAGATGACTAACGCAGTGATAGCCCTGAGCGCGTATTTTGAAATTGTCCGTAGCAGGACAAGACTAGCTCCTTGTTCTTAGTAAAAATGCTAGTTTGGTATTTAATGGTCTTCTATCAAGAACTGCACTTTGATATTCTGCACAAATAGACCTGCCAATCTAAAATTTTGATTTCTAACATTTACGATCAGACGTAGAGGTATGACATCCACGGCAGAGTATCTGCAATTAGAAAGGTGGTTAAATCACGTCTTCAACAAATCTCAAATACACTAACGTGCAGTTAAATCAGGCTATTTCATGGCCAGCTCAGATTTTGTGGTTTTTTCATCTCTTAACTGCATTACTATCATTAAGCATGGTTCATTAACAGGCTTTTCTTAACCCTACTTCTATCCCTCCTCTTCCTTTGATGCCCTGGATCGGCGCGTGTAATGGCTCGGTTCTGCCTGACCTTCCGTCCTTCGTTTCACAACATCCCTGGTAACGCAGCTCTCTCTGAAACTCCAGCTCCTCCGCTAAATTTGGCGACACGTGGACAACAAGTCCAAAATTTACGGGGTGGAGGAAGGCAGGACCGGCAAACGGATGGCTAGGCAGCGCAACGCCATTACCCGTGGTCCCCGGGAACCCCGAGGGAAGGGAGAGACGCGCCTGCCTCCTCAGCCCGCCGGCGTTGCCCGGACGCGCCGCAAGACAGCGGGCTGCAATTGCCTTAAGCCACCCGCTCAACCAAGAAGCCCGCCGCGGCAGCGAGGGACCGGGCAGGCCAGGACGCCGGGAGCCGGGGACCCCTGGGCGTC